GTGGCCTGGTGAATGTGACCAAGGGAGAGCAAAAGAGTGTCATTTTGTAACATGAGAGACAAGAGGCAAGAGGTGCTGGTGGGGACTGAGCAGCATTCAACAATAGCTTTGCCTAACAGATGGATGATAGTGTGTGGGGTTAGAGTTCAGTGTCATTGTAGAACCTGATATCTGATTATGGCCATCCCGGCCAATAAACACAAAGGGATTACATGCGGTTACATGAATAATGAATTTTTGAATTATTTTGTTGACATGCGTCTAATTTGCTGGGGCCTTGCAAAATGCCACAAAGGAGCAGCGGATCATGTTCCTCCAGCCGGCCAATTAAATAAGTTCCTTGTGACCGGCTCTCATGTGAAGTGAAGATCTTAATTAGCGGAGAAATGTCCGCGTTAGCAGGTGCAATCAGGAGAACTTATTTAACAAGCTGGAAAACAAAATGCTTGTTCATGGTCCAGCGCTCCTACATGTTTGGAACTTTTCCCTATGTTCAGTAGTCATGATAAAATGAACCGTGGTCCGAGTGTACACACAGTCAGCAAACCCCACAAACAATTAGAATGATGTGCAAACACACCCATCATAAAATGCAGACAAGGCGGCGACTTTTTGAGTAAACCACCTCTTAATATTTAATGACACTCCATAAATTATGAACAAATCTGCAGCTGAACACTCATTAAGACGAGGGGTTGTTGCTTAGGAGCGCTGGCATGTTCGGTCACTTGTGTGGTGTTCGTAACTGAACACCCTGCAGTGTGACAGTAATATGGCGGAAAGTAAATAAGGCAGCGGGTGCGGGGACCTTTGTTGTGGAGGCTGCCACAAGCATCCTACAAATCCAAGTGTTCAATAATGCAGTCCGACACATGTCTGGCTTGCTTTGTTACCCGGCACCCTTGACATGCATGTGCCCAGGCGTGCATGAGCTACTAAAGCAGCCTTTCTTCAAATTCTTTAGCTTTAACGTCACAACAAAAAAGGTACAGCCGTCCATCCATGAAGCCACTTTCTACAGCATTTGTCCTCACTAGGATTGCAGGTGAGCTGGAGTCTATCCATCCTGACTTTGGGAAGGAGGCGGAGTCCACCCTGGATAATCACAGACGACATGACCCAAAAAAAAAAAGTAGAAGCACTCTCTAAATGTTGCCTGGTTGTGAATGTGTGTGAAAAGTTGCCCATAGAGTAAAATATAAAGTCTCCATACCACTGTTCAAATGTGATTTTTAGAAAACTGTAGGTGTTTGTTTACATTCAAACTCAGCTTGAAGTGAACTTCAGTGACATCATGCACAGTGATCGCTGATTCCAATTTCAGCATCCCGGATCATAGACTTATTATCAGGGTCCCCCATACTGGTCGTCTGAGACAATTTTGTTTACATGCCACTCAAACAGTGCCATTAACAGCTATTTGCAGGTAATGTAGTATTTTAGCCAAAGTTACAGAACATTCACAATTTATTTTTCATGTATGCGTAGTGAAGTGTGTCTTAAGTTACTTTTGTAACACAAAAAATCAATAACAAATACTACATTCAACCATCATCTGGCATGGTGCTTACTGAGACCTCGAACCCATCTTACAACCGCCCCTGAGCTTGGAAAGTGAGTGGCCAACTATCAGGCTAAGAACCTGGGCTGCTAAGGCACTGGCTACCGTTACTTATAAGGCTGTCAAGGAGTGTATTTTGACTAACGTACTTTTTATACAGTTCGAACCTGCACCTGCGACACATGTACACTGCACAAACTTCATTTGCTGAATTCAGCCTACAAGTGACCACTATGTAACAGTAACAGTAACAGTAACAGTCCATAGTGCCTCACTTTTCACGAATGACTCATCAATTTATGTTCAATCCAACTGTTCGATTAATATGAAAGCTGCAGTAAGTGTGGGGAGGTGATTGGTCATGTCTGGAAAGTGAGGTAGAAAGAGGATGTACAAAGTAATACAAAGGCGACTGTTATTGCATTACGACTCGGACGCTATATTAGCGTAGCAACAGACCTAACACAATATCCCACAATGAAATTAACTACAGGTATATCATCGTTAGAGGGTTGTATTTTCAGTCCATTTTTTTATATAGCACTCCAATATGGATCGTTATATCGTACACCTCTAGGCCCAAGTGAACAAGTGGACAAAGTTTACTCTCTGAAACATTTTTAACTAATCTGTAACTGCCTGTAACATAACAGAAATCAGAACATTTGGGATCTCTGCATCAAAACAGAGAAAACGCTTCCAGAGTCCTTTGATGCTGGCTGAAGTGAGTTTTATTCGAGTCTGCTTAAGTTACACATGACATGATGCTTGACGGGTTTATCGCCTAAGTTTTGTAAGACCACTGGAACGCACTAGGAAATCAAAGAGAACATTTGGATTGGTTTTCAAATTGTACAACATTTTGTGGTAGCAGATGGTAAAGTTTCATATGTTGAAATGCGGATGACTTATTTATACCATAACTGAAGTCAAAACAATCGTTGACCTTGCGCCGTCAAGCCTCCGTTTTTAGGAGATAAACACAGCTGGACACCCTAAAACTTTTGGTGTTTATGTCTGTTTGCTACCTTTCCAACTTGAGGCTAAAAATAGCCCCTGTGCATCCGGCTGGGATGCTAACAGTGCAGTCATCTTTCCCTGTGAAGGACACAACACTGTCTGAAGTTTTGGGAGCAGGGAGAGGGGGAGAGGAGAGGGGAGGAAGCGGTGACTACCGTGTGACAAGCGCCCTTTTCCTTCCTCCCAGGCCTGGGAAACAGGAAGTGCTACACACAAGGCATTATTGTGACGGAGAGGAAATGCAAGGTCCTCTAAAATAAGAGCCTCAATCTGGTTGTCAATGACATGGGACTTGTCCTCCACAGAGACCCCCCACTGTCACACACACACACACACACACACACACACACACACACACACACACACACACACACACACACACACACCTCAAACAGTAAGTGTTGATGTTGTGCTTTTATTTTGGATGCATGTATAATAAAAGAAAATGCAGATATTGATGGTGATTATCCGGCCTGAATAACTTTTAAAAGCGGCAATATGGGGGCAAGTGTTGAGCAGACGTTGAGGAGGAGCTGGTTGCTAAGAGAGATGCAAGGCTTGAAGTGTGCCGCCTCCCAGTTAATCAAAATCTTCCTTTATCTGTTCCATGTTTTCAATTATACAGCTCTGGAAAGAGCCAAATTTCATCTATGAAGATAATGGCCGTCCACTGGCAGTCCAGGCTGCACCCATGCCTTGCTGTTTTTGGCCACGTCTTATTTTGATTTTGCCCGGATGAATTTGTAGTGAGTTACCCCTTTTGCCAAGATCAGCATGGCACCTCATGTAGTACATTCCATGGATAAGATCGCCATTGTGCACCCTTGGAGAACATAGCAGATGTTGGCCACTTGACTTTTTTTGGCAATTAAAACTAGATCCATCAATGTCGTTCTGCTTTTCATCTGCAATTAAAAGAACGACAGAAGCCAGGACATTAATCACACTATGTAAAGTAAGATATACCAGTAGCTTCTAATGGATTCAGGAGTACCAAATACACCACCAAAGCCTCATAAAGTTTTACATTTTTTATAGTTTTTGCATGGATTCCCAAATTGTCCTCGTTTTTTTGCAACAGCACATCAAGTTTTCATATAATAATAATAATAATAATAATAATACGACAACAATTGTAGCGACTCTCCTTGTCTCCTGTAGGTGCCGTGCATGATTGTGGGAGATATTTTGACGTACTTTACTCGATAAACAACTGTCCATGGTGTTGTCTGCTTTGGGGTGATGTTCACCTTTAATAGGCGTATTTGCACACAAAAGACAATCTCAATGATGCAAACAAGAATTTAAATTGTGAGGCTTATATAAACATTACGTTGTATGCACTTCTGTCTGTAAACGAGTGTCGTGTGTGAGTGCAGTAAAAAAAGAAAAAAAAAATCACATGACCCTCCACTCCCATGAGCACGAATCACCCACATCTGTTCTGATAAAGACGAGGGACGACTTGCACTGCCACCTGTGGACATCTGCCGCAAACACAAGGAAAAATAAACACGGAGCTCCGACAATAATTAATACATTTATTGTATATGCAACGTACTGTAGTAATATACTGTATATGATTTAAGGGTTAGGTGGAGCGACAGGTGGATTTTTTTTTTCTAAAACATCATCCGTATTGTGTTAGCTTTTATAGGTCAAATTAAAAAAAAAAAAGAAATGATCCCCAAAAGCCAATGTGCTGGGGGAAAAAAAAGTCAAGACATTTTGGACATCAGCATTAAAAATACATTTACAGACACATGAAGCCATCGCTGGTTAAAATTAACCGTTGACCAGTGTTATTTCATCCAATATATATTCTTTCTCCATTCAAATGTAGAATAAAACAATTTCCTGGCCCGTTTACTGTTTATTGACCAATTAATGTTATTTGGTATCGTTTATTGATGAAAAAAAAACAATTAAGTACGAAAGAGATTGTTGTACTCACCGACCTTTGTGAAACTGACTCAGTTACTGGTTTGGTCGGTTTTCCAAATTCAAAGCAGATGTTTGCAAACGCCTTAACTTGATTAAATACAAAAGATAATCAGCCTTCGTTCATGAAAAACTACAGAAATCAGAAAGTCATGTTGAAAAGCTGAAATCAGAGCATTTGGACAATTTTAGGTTAAACAATGACTCTAAATGCAAACATTAAAATAGTTGTCAATGACTTGGCTAACTTATTAGTTGTCGATGAATTTCGACACCTCTAAAAACGATAATACAATCAAAAAGAAAATCTGTCTTTGAAATGGTAGTATGGTTTTCATTAAGATTGAACATTACAGTATGTTTATTGTAAAGGTAGAATTTTGGATAGAGCTCTTGCAACGGATCTTATACAAATTGGTCACGATGGTGGTCATGTACAGAATATGTGTGACACAAGAATCACTCTTCACTCACATCAGAAAATGAAAATCTTATTTTAATACAGAACTCAAAACTTGCAACATTCTACTCCAGGCCGAACAAGGTTGTGAAAACAAAACAAAATGTTTACTGCCATCTAGTGTTCAATTTATAGACAAACAACCTTTTGTGACATCCTGACAGGGTGTTTGGTTGGAGGCTTGTGCAGATTGTTCCTGGGGAATGTCCAAGCAGGAAATGAAGGTTCCTCAATCCCACTCCTCCCTCTTGGGATCTGTGCTGGTAGTGTCTGAATCAAGTGGTCTGCGCTCAAAGTGGGGGGAAGGTATGGGTGGGTGGTTGGTCACTGTTTTTTCTTTCCCAAAAGGCCTCCCTCGACCCATCACCCCCATCAATAGCGATGTGAACCCTCTGCCTACACCACTGAAAGGTATTTCGCTCACTGGCTCTGACAAGGTGTTTGGGAGTGGATCTGATGGGACCACATTCAAAGTTGCGGAGAGCGTATTCTGATCGGCTTGCATCGGTGGTGGCGATGATGGTTGCTCAGTAGGCTGTGTGCATTTGTCTTCTTCTGCCGCAGGTGAGGTCTGCGGTGCGGGCTCCGTTCGAGGACTTGAACGAACGAGCAGACCTTTCTCTGTGACTGGATAGAGTTTGGCGGCACGCTCCCGACGCTCACTGCGCATCTGATCCAGCAGCCTGAGCTCGGACGGGAAGTCAAAAACACAGTCCTGTAAATAGAGAAAAAAAATAACAATGCAAAGACCTTTTCAGGATGATGTTCCATGTGTCATAGGTCCAAAAATTGACTGACTGCTTCTGGTTGAGAGCCTAAGCACCATAGCATAATCCTGATGGTTGAGGAGAAGATAAAGCTCCCAGATATGCTTAGGGAAAGGATGGATTTACGCGGCCGTTATATTGAGAAAGCGAGAAACGATGGTAAGTGTCGACTCTCAATAAAACAAGTCCTAGAACTCCAAGGCTGCCTATTTGTGTTGAACAACATTTGCAAAGTATTTCATCGTAATACATAGCAAACAAAAGGCTCATACCAAATTGATACTCTCCAAATAATCAAGCGGGTACTGGCTATTTGAGAGGTAGGTGTCCACTAAGGCCATGTAGTCCATTAGAAGAGAATCCAGCAGCACCATTCTGAGAGGTTGCAAGTGGATCACTGACAGCGCCATCACGTTCAGCAGAGGTAAAGGGCACGGACGCTTGTACCACACCTTGGTTTCCTCCTGCCAAAAAACAAAAACAAAAACATACACTGTTGTCATTAAAGCTGACTAATCAAGTTTAACTGTTGTCCTCCATCAAAGCGTACTTCGGTGAGCTGGGACTTGGTCTCCAGAGTGAAGAGGTGGGAGGAGGGCACCTTCAGGTGGAAACTCACCACCTCGTGAAGAGTGCTCACTCTGTGTGGAAAAAATCCTCCCGTCTCAGAGTGAAAGCACAAGACATCTGCCACCTTGGCCAGAAAAGGTAAGAGAGACATAAAGGTTGGCTCAAAGAATGATACTAGAAGGATGAAGGCATATCCACCACTCTTCCCTTATGTACCTGAGTGTCAAAAACATGAGTCAGCTTTACTCCAAATTGTGTCATCAGACATCCAGCAACAGCTCTGCAGTCATGAATGACCTGTGCCACGTAACACAATCAAAAAGGGCCAAACAACACAATAAGCATGTACGACTATACACTGCTCACCTTCAGTATGTGCTTATTCTCGAGAATCATGCACAGGCCGTTCTTAAAGGCTTTCGCTCCGAGTAACAGAATGTCAAAGAGAAAAACCTTGTGTTTTGTGGCAATCTAAGACACAAACAGGAAACATCATTCGACACAGATGACGTTCAAATGCCTCCTTAATGTTGAACAGTTTGGAATTTTACCAAGAAATACAAGCCTTGCTATAAATAATAAAAATCTGCAAGTTCATAGCGATTTCTCCAAAAAGGTTAATGATTGTCTATAAATTTTCCAAAGGGCCGCAAAGCATTATGTTTGTTACGTGAAGCTCCTCAAATCATTACAACATGGTTCTTTGGCTCCAAGATGTCGCCGATGTAGTACTTACACAGCTTTGGGCTGGGCACAAAAACAGCAAGCAGGGAGACCAAGGACAATTGTAAGATTTTTGACATTTGTGTCTAACTTTGAGCTGTTTTGACCTGCCCTAGAGTGTTCAAACTGCTATGCAAACTAGATTGAAGTGTCTTCTACTAAACATATGAATCATCATTAAAATAAAATTGAACGAAAAGCGCCACTGTGCAATAGCAACAACAAACCTTTTTTGTCAGCAAGCTTTTATCATTAAAATAAAATTGAATGAAAAGCGCCACTGTGCAATAGCAACAACTTTTTTGTCAGCAAGCTTTTTTTATTTTATTTTTTTTTACATTACACCTTCGAAGAACTCATCTTCTGCATTACTTCCAGTGTCAGCTTGACAGGTGTGTCATATTGCTGTTTGTTTACCCTTCATTTTTGTGAAAGGGAGTTTCTGTTGTCTGGCCGTTGGTAATGCAAATGCATAGAACATGCAGGGGATAATGTACACTACAGTAGTAATTGAGTGCACCATCTTATACCGCCTGTCAACCTACTGTTTCATCACACACCATTTTCCCGTTGTGGGACGAATAAAGGTTAGCTTATCTTATCATATCCTCGAAAGATCTTGTACTGTGCACTGAGGACCCCCTGAAAGAACCGCGGACTTCTCACCTGAAGCCAACACAGTCGGCCGTGCTTGTACATGTCCAACCCGTCAGCTCCAACGCTAACCACATGCTGCTTCTTAATTTCCATCACCTAGGAATTAACACATCACAAACATAAGTCAATCATCAATATAGAGATGGTACAGTATTTTAACGTAAGGCTTCACTGTTCTCTCACAATTTTTTTCAAATACATGTAAGACTCTAAAACTACTTACGGCGGGTCCAAATTTCTCATGAAACCCATCAATAACTTCAAATTTGACGTATTCGTCATCATGATCATGAGCTATTAAAATAAACACATTTGTAATCAACAATCATTGTTTCTATTTTGAATGACAATGAATGTTTACATTTTACTCACCCTGGTGAAAATTCTTGAATGGATTGAATTCTGACAACTTCAAGTGGTCTTCAGGAACATTTCTGTGCATCATTTAATAGCTCTAAAACAAACTTTCGCCTCCCAAAGTGACAATTTGGTAACGACTTACCCATGCGTTTTGTCCTCTTCATTGGCAAACTCCACTATTAATTCACAAAATGTTCATTTTAGGAATTTTCACTTAAACTATATTCGATGGCTTTTGTACTGACCATTCAAAATCTCGTGACCGTAGAACAATCTAATTCCGGGAAGTTCACATCCATTATCGCCATATGTGACTGAAACACAGCAATTTAATTAATTAAGTGGAGGTTGGTTTCCTCGCTCGTTTAAGCATAACCAATTATCCATTAACTTCAATGTTCAGGGGATTAATTAAGAGGCACTTTTGTCAAACCTTTAGCGAGGGCCACTGTTTTGCTGGAGGTGATGCGCTGCACAACGCCGAAGCAAAATGACGTCTTGAGGGTAAGTTTAATGCGTTTCCCTTGGAATATATTCGTGAAATAAGTGTCTTCGTCCACCATCTTGTAGTTGTGGAGCACTCAAGTGTCGTTTATTTGAAGAAAAAAAACTTACATTCAGTATCGAAGGAGGTGGCCAACTCCGTAAAGAAGCTATACGGCTAATTTGATGTTGTGTTCAAGAACAACCTGCGTGTTTGGAAGGTTGATGGACGAAAGGAATCTACAGTATTCCCTAGTTCACTGTTCGAAATATGTATTACATTACCAGATCCTACATGTGGGAATTTAACAAAATTGTGCTGGGACAGATCACATTACAGACTAAAAGAATGTGCAATCACTGGCTTGTGCATAGTAGTTCTGTAAATTCCCAAGTGATGCCAACGCATCCTTCAGATGGCAATAAATGAAGGGGATAATTTTTGGAAAATAAAAATTGTATTGTTTGAATATAATTAGTTTGATTTCTGAAGCAATTGTCCAAATTTTTGTCACCGCTCCAGTTAGTCAATGGTAGTCAATCATTTTTTTTGCCACCCTTGATTACCCTCGGTGCTTGTTTACAAACACGATGAAAAATGCAATTTCTGCAAATGTGTCTCGAAGAAGCAGTTCTGCACTTCTTCCAGGATGAGGCCTGAAGCACTGCATTAGACAGCCTCGCCCCTAAATTGAGCAGCCACCATGGCAAGACATATGCATGAAAAATATGTCTATAATTTTTGATCTTCGTGCCACAGACAAGGCAGGGGGAACCCATAAGTCTTCTAACCTTCTTTATTTTACTTATATTTCTATTTTTTGCTGAAAGGTGTTGTGTGAAAAGTGTTCTTGTCTCACAGTATAATGTCAGGATTTTTCTGGCCTGAAAAATAGCACTATCACAAAACTTTTTATTCTTATTCTCTTTTAATAAAATGTATTTCACCTTTGTAGACCTTCAAGACGTTTGTTCATTATTATCTAATGCTTTTTTTTTTTTTTTTTTACAGTTGTGAGAAATAATGAAATGAATAAAACTACCATTACTGCTTAGCCACATGGGGGCAGACTTATTTCATGCAGCACATTGCTAGCAACTATTAAGATACCGGGCGGCCCGGTAGTCCAGTGGTTAGCACGTCGACTTCACAGTGCAGAGGTGCCGGGTTCGAATCCAGCTCCGGCCTCCCTGTGTGGAGTTTGCATGTTCTCCCCGGGCCTGCGTGGGTTTTCTCCGGGTACTCCGGTTTCCTCCCACATTCCAAAAACATGCATGGTAGGCTGATTGAACACTCTAAATTGTCCCTAGGTGTGAATGTGAGCGTGGATGGTTGTTCGTCTCTGTGTGCCCTGCGATTGGCTGGCAACCAATTCAGGGTGTCCCCCGCCTACTGCCCGAAGACGGCTGGGATAGGCTCCAGCACCCCCCGCGACCCTAGTGAGGATCAAGCGGTTCGGAAAATGAATGAATATTAAGATACCTACCTGTGTGTGCGCGCGTGTGTGTGTGTGTGTGTGTGTGTGTGTGTGTGTGTGTGTGTGTGTGTGTGTGTAGTGTAGTGAAGTATAAAACTTCACAAAATGGATCAGTGCTAGATTGACATGGTTTGTTATTACAGCATGTAATGTTGCACACACACAGCACATCTCTTTCACATGGTATAACAATACGACAGACACACGATTGAACATCTTCAACTGGATTTTTGGATTGTTGAATTAAAATTATTACCACATGCACAATGCACAATGAGATCAGATGTGAATTAAGTTTAGATTTGTACATCTCAAATTCAAACGGTGCCTATTGGTCAATCTGCATTATTTTTGGATTGAGTTCTCTATGAGACATCTTCTCACCCTGTATACGCACGGCCATTTTTTTTCATCATATAACATTATATCTGAGTTTTAAGCAAGTAAATATTTTCCACAGCAACCTCATGATGGGATTTTCCATTAAATATGATCAGATTACATTTTATACTTTAAGAATCTGTGAAAGTCTATCCCAGCCTAAACACCTGTTAAAGTTTAGTCAAGAAAAGTGACTTACAACAGAGCGTGACGCTCAGAGGAGTTCCTCTGCCCACTCTGCAGTGCAGTTAATGACATGCCGGCCACATTGCAGCCTGCCTCCCGCCCCCAGACAAGCTGCGTCTGAATGTTGCCTGTTGCTTGTGTCACGTCCATTGACGAGTGTGTGTGCATGTGTGTGTGTGTATGTGTGTGTGCTCAGCATGCTGCTAAGAGCACCGGTGAGGCGAGCACAGCGATCAGATGCTCCAAATGAGGAGGACGCAGATGGACAGCTTAGTGCAGCCTCTCGTCGCCCAGTACCTTGCCATGGGCTGTCAATCAAAAGACAACAACAAAAGTGAAAGTATTGCTCCGGACGACAAGGGGAAAGACGATGCGTAAGTGTCACCATAATATTTTACTCTTTTTATTTCTTGCTTCTTCAACCTGTTTCGGTCAACAGTTCTGTGTATTTACCTACATTTGAATTTGTATGTCGATCCATTTATTCATGATCTGAAACGCTTTATTCTCACAAGGGTCTGCATACTTTGTTCAATACATATGGTCTTTTCCTATACTAAAACAAAAGTAACACTGTCGTGAATGTGTAGCACCAAAATGAAGAAATGTTGCATTTCCCCTCCTTTAAAAGAAAATTGCCTTATTTGCTGGTCAGCTACCAAGCTGAAGTGGATGTCCGTAATTAAGTGGTATTTCCCACAGTTAAAGGAAGGAAATGAGAACAATGCACACTATCTCATGGGAGTTCCTTTTTAAACAGAAGCCATCTTTTGTACTTCACATTTGATGTGATGGAGGCTGTGCTGCAAAAAGTACTCACACTCTGCACTTAAAGGGGAATCAAACCCAACGAGTCAAAATGTGAGATTTTACATGCACATCTCTTCTCGATCAGCCGTTGTTTACTTAAATATTCAAATTACGTATTTATTAAAAAAAAAACCAATAAACCCTTTGATGCATCCTGTAACCTGATAACATGATAAGCTGTGTATTGTAGTCACCGCTGCCCCTGAAAGAGTTAAAACATCATATCCACCATTGCACACTTGCATAAAGATAGCCGCCATTTTTACGTCTTTTTTTACCTTTGTATGAGTGTGATTTTGTGAGAATGTGGATTCCTGAGAATGGTTTGGTTTTTTTTTGCCAGTTCTGGCCTGTTATACAGCTTCATTAACTTGGACAGCCATACACAGTTAGTATTCAGCACTTGTTGAAGTATTTGTGCAGTTAGTTGTCGCAGCATTTGAATGATCATCAGGTTTTGCCTTGACATATTTTTGGCAAATCTTGTTGAAATAACCTCAGATTTTTACAGGATGCTTCGAAACAGATTTAAGATTTTATATCATTGTATTCAGAGTAAGCTTATGATGTTCAACACCTAAACAGTTCAATTTAACTGAGCCAGACGTAGTAGTTTTCTGTATAATTACATTTAATTTGATGTCAAATGTTTTGGTACATGCTGTAGTTTCATCTCAGTGGATTAGATGTCAAACCTGGTGTTGAACAAAATGTTAAGAAATTGTGATAGATCCATCATTTTACTATATATGGGGTACTGTATTCTCTTTAAGGTCACGGGAGAGCTGAAGCCTATCCCAGCTTACTTTAGATGTGTGGCAAACTATGAAAATGCTAGTGATAAAACGGTTGTAATTCCAAAATGCTAAATGTCATTTTTTTTTTTTGAAACCCTGTAAATTAAAGCCTTCATCTCTATACATGACTGCTATTACTGAAATCCATTACGTCATTGTCCAAATACGTTTGGCCCAAACTACATGTGTTTGTGAAATGGAAATGGGCGGTTGTAAATCCTTCCACGGAAAAAAATATTATCCCATTAACAATCATGTGTTGGTGCATTCTCTAAAAGGAGAGGGACTCCAGGATGCGGCCCCAGGTCTAGAGTTTCCACTCCAGGACGTCCTCAAAGGTTCCACAAGCCGATTCAGGTCCAGGCCCCCATGGGGAAACCCACGGTGTCAGTGGGCCATCTCGCCAAGGGGGCCAGCTGGGAGGAGCTCATCCAGGCTTGTTTGCAGGCATTTGGTAAGCTTTAACTGGCCTTCATTGACATGTTTTTACGTGTGGATGGACATTGAGTCGATTTCAAAAGTCACCCCTGTTGCTGAGTTCTTAATATGATTGGTTAGTTTTGAACAGTAAAATCCAAGTTATACGTTTATTTTGACTTCCCTTCTCGAAAAAGATTTAAAAATGTAATGTAATTGACCCGTCGAGGTTATGAGTCACATCGATGGTGGAAACATTTTGAAGTGATTTGTCTTGCTCAAATTTTCTTAGACTACAAAAGTCTGGCATTTGAACAAGCGTGTTTATACTTTTAACCAGAGCCGTAGCTTTCAAATTGGCATTTGTTTCATTGAATTGGTGTTAATGTAGGTTTTTCTATTCGCAGTTTGATTTCCAGCCATCCTTACTGAAATCTGCATATAGACTCCGCTGGGTGTTTTGTATGTTGCGGATGTTGATGAAATGTGTTTGCCTATCCTGGCGGAGGAGGAAGGGGGGGGGGGGGGCGTTACGACAGCGCAGCAGGTTGGTTGAGTAGGTTGGATCAATCAAGCCAACATAATTGGCTTCATTAAGTTGTCAGGAGAGCTTTCTGAGTTTTGGTGATTATATCTCTGGAAAGAGAAGCTTTCAAAGTGGTGTTGCCCTGGTTACGCAAATGGAGCAATACGAGAGGTGTTACAATGGACTGCACATAAAAGGGCATCCCATAAAGAGTGCTCGTCAATGGCGAGCTAGAACCAGGTGTAAGTTTGTGTGGCCACAAAAAGTGTCAGTACACGTGTGGGGTTTAAAGGCGTACTAGAAGGTATGAATGAAAAATTGCAAAAAGTAAGGCCATTTGAAAGTAGAATTTCAGGAGGCAGAAAAATTTTTTGCATTGTTCAAGAGTACGTTGCTTTTTAAATATAAAAATCTGGGGATTACAAATGCTTAAACATGTAGATTAAAAAAATAGGATCAAAAAGCTCTTAAACGATTTCAGCCAATACCTAGAAAAGGATAATGGAGATGTTTTAATTGCCATCCCTTTGTTCAACCACAGGACATTATATTTCGAATTGACAGTGCAGAAAATGCACAAACCTGAATAAATTATGACTCTATCGCTGGTTTGGTCCGTATCATATCGGAAAATAGGCAAAAATGTTGATCATTGTTTGCCAAAGTAAAAGCAAATGTTTTACATATTTTTGAGTCAACACAATCAGTCTTCTTTCGTGGAGAATGACAGAAATCGGATGTTTCCTGTTTGGAAGCTGAAATTCCAAGAAGTTAAAGTTAAAAAAAGGTATCTGAACGATTAATTAATAATGATGCAAAATAATAATAGATAATGCCCTGCGAGTGACTGGTGACCAGTTCAGGCTGTAGTCTGAACTGGTCAGCTGCTGAAGTCAGCTGGGATAGGCTCCAGCAACTCCCTGTCACCCAGCATAAGCGGTGTTGAAAATTGATGGATAGCTGAATAATAGATTAATTTGATAAGCGATTAGTTGTTGATTAATCAAATAATCCTTGCATGTGCCCTGTGATTTATGAGTGACCAGTCCAGGATGTAGTCATCCAAAGACTCTAAATAGGATAGGCGATATGAAAAAAAAAAATGACAGAAGGAATTAACAACTTTCCTCTTTCTTTATCAAAGCAAAATGAAAAAAAAAAACAGCAAGTAGTGGAACAGCCATAATTAAAAACAGTCATAGATGGAACATGAATACAGAAATTCACATCACGTGAAAAGTGACGCTTGTCACAAAGTTGCACAGAACACAACACTATCAGTGATACCGTGATTGATGTTTTACTCCACCATAATCAGTACTAAAGAGGGTTTGACACCGTAGTTATTGTGCGCCATGTGCCCACATCACATAGGGACCCCTGTGGTGGGCGAGTTATTTGAAGGATGGCCCGATGGTACTTTCAGGCTCAGCTAAACCCAAAGGTCAATTCCCCACACCGCGCCGCTCACATGGTGGCCAGTCTTTGAAGATTACACCGCTGTGAGGAGTCGATCAATAGCCCCTGACATCATTGTCCATCAATTTCACCTCATCTCAACCTTACTTCACTTTGTGCTTCAAGTGCTTTGCAATACCTCAAACAGATTTACTGGGCACATTTGGTGCTTTAATAACAAGTCTGGCCCATGCTTTTGTACAAACAAAACATATTACAGTATAAAGTAGTTGCTAGTGGTGTAGCGGTACACTCACCTGACTTGTGGGCGGGCGGCATGGGATCGGTTCCCACTAAGTGATGGCGTGGATGTGGGTGTGAATGGTTGTTTGTCTCTATAGGTGCCCTCCAACTGACTGGCAGTTCAGGGTGTAGTCCGCTCAATGTCAGCTAGGATAGGTTCCAGCACCCCCCCCATCCCCCTACTGCGAGCAGTCAAGTATGTGCCACTTATCAGAAGCCAAAACTGTTAGCTAACATGAATCTGTGCATCAAACACAATTCAATGCAGCTCTGCTTACCTCTGGGCTTTGGCATGATAGCAGGGTGTCCCAACCATGGGGGATGTGAGTGTTTCTGCTTGATTCTGTCTGTGCATGATTTCAGTCATTTGGTCAGGTTACTTGAAGGTGGCTCTGGATCTTCAGCCAACCAAGCCAATCATCTAATCGGTGGAGAAACTTGGAGGCAGTTAATATTGGATTGGATTGGATTGGATTGGATAAGCTTTATTGTCAAATGTACTGTATGTGTAACATACAGCACAGATGAAATTTCTTCCCTCTCAACATAAAACAAGAGGAGCCGCTGCGGGTGTCTGCGCTGCTATCAAAAGAAAAGTTAACAAAAAAATGACAAAATGATACCAAACAACACATGAGACACATATATGTAGGCTAATGAAGGAGAACATGCACGTTTTAATTGCTTAAGAGCTTGGTTTTACCCCACGATGAGACAGATTGTTTACACGCACACATTTTCACAAATAGTCCAATAGCAAAAGATTTACTTGGTTGTTAAATTTTAAACTCAATGGGTGGGCAAGCACTACAGAGACACAACGATGTGTTGACAATTCCAGTTCAGGGTGAACCCCTCCTTTTTTTCCAAAGTCAGCTGGGAGCGGCTCCAGCTCACCGATGCCCGAAGGATAAGCGGGACTAAAAATGGGTGGATGCTGAAGAGGCTTAAATACTTGACTGGGATGTTATCTGCTGTTGTGTTCTGTTTGTTCTTGTCTTGCTTTAGTTACAAAACAATTATTGCACCATATTTAAATCATATTTTATCTCATTGAAACTGAATAGAGTGAAACTCTGCATATTGGTGGTTTGCATTAGACAAAGCAATAAAAGTGTTGTTCTTACTTTGGTTGCAACCTATGTTCAAGTAAGTTGAGGAGTTTCATTGGGACAAAATTAATGTCCCAATGACTGGCAATTACAGTACAGTTTAACTCTTTTTCGGTGGAATCAATTACATGTAGTTTTTTTTTTTTTTTTTGCTATTATGCAATTTATACTGCAGAGGTTCACCTGGTCATATGTATGGTGGACTCACATCAGGCCAACCATACTGCTGCACCCACAAAAAGTAATCAATGAACTTTGCGAAATGCTCATCCCTACTCATGAGTGTCCATTTTAATCCTAAAAATATAATATATTAATAGGCATCGACTTGTATTGTTTCAAACAATTGAATATTCCTAACCCCATGTCCCATAGTCCAACACACAACGTCCTTTAAAGTCAATTTTTTTCAGATTTCAAAGGAAGAACCATAAAAAGATCATCCCGTCTGATAACATCTTCCAAAACAAGGAAAAGCGACACACGCATTTGGAGTATCCTGATGAGTGTCAAAGATAGCCTAAAAAGCAGCACACGAGTCTGGTGTGCAGTTACACCGCCGTGGGCGTCTTTCCTAATTTTCCAGGCTGTAACAGATCGTCCGGAGGGGATTTACACCAACAATTAACCCTGCGCTGGTTGGTTTAGTGGTCGGGAGGTTGTGAAAACAAGGATGAGCTAATTGTTTACCTTAGACTGAATCATCCTTTCCTGTTGTGCATTTATGCTTTTATGGGTCTCACTTTACAGCTTATCGTGGGTATAGACTCGGATAAAACATTCAACAAATATGCCGGTATGGCATGATAGATTTTGCGCAAATTCACCGTATTGTGTTTTCGGCAATACTTTAGCTGTGGGTAGCCATCCTTTCCTGTTGTAGTAGCTCGTAGTGGGTATCAAAGTAGGTCAATCGTGAAAAACAAAGACACTTGAATGAAACAAAAGCTTACAGACAAAATTCACCCCATTGTGGACTTGTGATGCCGCTGGCTTAAGCAGGTAATGGCTGAGTGGCACCAACGGAAGCACTGCCCAAGCAGGATGCGAGGGCTGGACTGCCGCTGGAGAGGCTGGTTGCTCACAGATAACGCAGATTGGAAAATGTGTTGCCATGGTGTGCAAAGTCTATCCAAGGTGATAAAAGTGTGTTCAATCACCCCATGGCCTTAAATTCTCGAGAGGAACTACCCGACTGAACCGTGAATAAAGCGCATGCTCTTGAAATATTCGGCTTTTATGCGCTTTGTCGTCTTGTCTACCATCAAGAGCTTTTCCTCTCTTTGTAAACACTCGATCGCGGCACGCAGCGGCGTTTTTTCTCAGAAGATAAATGGTCAGGAAAAGGCTTGCATGCGCTGAAATTGGAGCTCGGTCGGCTCTGGTGTTGTGTGGTTTTTGCACTGTTTTCTGCACATTTCGTCTCTTTATATTCTTTGTGTCTGTCTCGAGACAATAGAGGAAGTGAGTCAGTCGAATTGGAGAAAAAGAGGAAGATTAAATGTTGTGGAGACAGACGTGTGTCAGAAGTCCGCAGAGTTACAAAGGTCAATAGACCATAATGACATCATTTATTAGAGTGTGTCCATCGGTGGTTTCCCTTCTGGGTAAAGGGATGGTGATTGTTTGCATGGATACCCATGACATCACCCAAATCCCCTGATTACAAGGCCCTTGTGTTGTGTTATTCTTATTTTGTCAAGATAATAATATACATTTTATTTTCGAATCAAAATCAACATAAGTTGATAATGAATATATAAAAAAATAATTTCAAATGTTTTCATACATCTTTAAGGGGCGATTTAAACACTGCTGGCTTTACGTTAAAAAAAAAAAAGGTATGGACATTAGTTGTGCGCCTTTAAATCATGTTTGACAAACATGACTATGGTTTCATCTTGTGCAATATTGATGTTGGTGAGACGTGATTTTAACGCATGCAAACAATGTCCATGCTACTGCATTTCTGAAATCATATTAAGCTCTTACGATTGCACTTTATTACTTCTCCTATTAAAAAAAAAAAATCATACCTATGGTACAAGGAGTCCTGTGAACCGCTAAATCACTGGTGTCAAACTCAAGGCCCGGTTGCCTGATCCGGCCCACCACATTGTTTTATGTGGCCCGCAAAAGCAAATCATGTGTCAACTTCAGTGATCCTTGCTGAAATCTGTACCGAAATGTCAAATTGTCATGTTTAATAAATAACATTGAGATTTTGCAATAATTTTGTTACCCTATTAGCACTCACTCAAACAATAATTGAACAAACTATTATAGTTGATTTGACTGATTTCAAAACTGCTAATACATCAATTTGTTGTGTACAAGTAATAATATACAGTATAAGCATTTATTTAGTTGCACTCTCATCATGGCCCTGCGAGGGAAGACGCAACCCCAAAGTGGCCCACGACAAAAAAAAGAGTTTGACACCCCTGCTCTAAGTTCATAGTTACGAAATTACTGTACAATTTGTCATTCATTTAATTTTCAGCAACATTTCTGGATGATTGCATCAATCTGAACATGTTTGGCCAGTGAAGTCTGAGAATACTGAAAATATCGGCTACCAACTGTAAAAAAGTACAAACAAACAAGATTTTATGAAGTTGTTTTACTCTTTCACCCTTTAATGTCTCACGGAAAAAAATGGTATTTAATCACATATGTATTTTCCAGCCATTTGAGCAACTTCGTTAGTTAGAAATGATGGAAAATGAGTGTTGTACTCTACAGGTAAGCTAATATTTTAAATATATTTGTAGCCCTCAATTGCCATGTTAATGCTAACATTTTATATAAGTCACTGTTGTTTATTGTTTAACCCATTCGATGATAATGACTTCTGGTGGTTATTATCAATGAGTTCGTTCCTCTTTGGCTTATCATCACTGATACTGTTAAAGGGTTTTTGCGAAGAAAATAATTTGCAAAATAAAACAGATTGTGAGGCTATACACTGAAGAACAACAGCTGCTACTGAGTTGCCTTTCCTTATCTTCTTTCCAGGCTCTTGAATGATCCACTTTTGGATGGAATGGTTGGATTCTGAGTTCATTCAAGTTCTGAGGGTCCACTTAAACCAAAAAAAAAAAAAAAAAATGCCGGTTTTCTATCACCAAAAACCTTTTGCTATGAAGTCCTACCAATTTGTAGTGGCTTAAACTGGTTGTTTTCCTCCTCTATCAGCTCCTTTGCAACAGACAGACTTATTCACACAAAATTTGGAGTGCTTGCCGATAGCATAATTTAACATGGAGTTCTGACAGTGACTGTGTGCCTCCGCTGCATGCAAATGACTGCATTTGTGCAGCATTGCACCTTTTACTCCAGCTGTGATGAATCACACAGCTATTGCCTTGGTGAAACAAGGGCGCTCATGAGTCACCGATGATGGTTTTTATTCTGAGGGTATAACTTGACATTTTGTATCAAACAATATTTCCACATTGCCACACTCAGTTGTATTTTTTTTTCTTCCCCCTCCAGATTCAGACGGTAACGTATGCGAGCGCAGCCACTTGTTGAACATCACCCTGACCATGCACCGCCTCCTCATCTCCTCCAGTGATCTGCTGGATAAGATCACCAATCTATATCCTTCAGCAACCTGACGGAACGACATTATTGATATCATGGATACATTTGTAAGCATTCAGACATGTTTGCTGCCCAGATTTGTCGAGAGAGCCTGCCAATCTCTTGCTTGGCTCACACTTCTGGCTCGCCTGCGTAAATTGAGAGTAGCCTGGTTGGATTTTCTTCTGCTTGCATTGCTCAATTTGCTCAATTTATACATTGCTAAAGCGACAAATCTAATGGTATCCAAGATACAGTACTGCCTCGCTTTCTTGTATCTTCTTAGCCCCATCACGTCCATTTCTCGCATTTGTAGCATTTTGATCCTATGCCTTAAAAAAAACAAAAAAAAACAAAAACAAACCTTTGTCTGTGAACTCGTGTTTTGTTTGGGCTTGTCCGTTCAATTGTTTGCCACTGTGCAAACTAGGGCTGGCAAGATTAGTCGACTAGTCATGATGTTGTCGACAATTTAATCGATGAGTCAATTATTTACTGTGTATATCATATCATATGGCATTCATTTGAGGCTTTGTTTTTCTCTCAAAACTGTCTCATCTCCCGCTGGCGTTGTGCCTTGGCTGTGATGCACAAGCACAGTAGTGATAATCCGGGTCATTCGTGACGTAAACAGAAGCATTGTGGGTAATGCCTGTGTCATGGCTGATCGGTGTCATGGCTGACCCGAGTTGGCAACAGATGCATTACACCAAACATGTTTAAGATAATACAAACCTCCCTCTCATGGCAACATGGCGGTGACAAGCGGATAAAGAAGCATGTTGTAGCTGATGGCAAATTTCATTTCTGACATGGGGACGGTCATTTCTGTAAACTAGCATTAGCACACACAGGTTACTGTGTATATTTGATGTAACATGATGTCCTGTTGCACGCTAACGTGTTGTAGCGTTGACTATGGATTACGGAGGCATTAGTCAGTCACGCTCGATCATCTAAAAAGGAAGCACATTGTGACTGATGCCTGATTTCATTTCTGACTTAGACAGTCATGTCTGGCAACTAGTGTGTGTTTGATGTAACGTTATAACACTATGTGCTGTTTGGTAGGCTAACATATTGTCGTGTCTACAAAGGGTTACGTAGTCATTAGTGAGTGAACTCATGTTTTTTAATGACCAAAGCATATGTTTTGTATGCACGTGGTTGACATTGAGGCAGGAAGAGAGCACACGGTCACGACTGTTGCGTTCATAATTTGGGAAATGGGAGCACTCGGGTCATGACATATTTGCCACAAGCCCTCAATGGCAACACATAACAATAAAACATATAACCTAGTACATTGATTTCATTTATAGTGCTATTTTTCGTTTCAGGCTCACCAGACCAGGTTTTGGTTGTGTGGATCAATTTACTATTTTTAAAATATGCATGGGCGGCGGGCGACTGAATCGTTAGCATGTCCGTCTCAGAGTGCAGAGGTCATGAATTCGATTCTGGGCCTCGGCCTGCCTGTGTGGAATTCGCAGGTTCTCCCAGTGCCCACATTCAAAAAGTTGCACAGTCGGTTAATTGATTGCTCCTAAATGTCCGTAGGTGTGATTGTGAGCGTGAATGTTCTTTTGGATTTGTGTGCCCTGTGATTGGCTGGCAACCAGTTCAGGGTGTAGCCAGCATCCTGCCCGAAGACAGCTGAGACAGGCTGTAGCATGCCCCGCGACCCTTCTGAGGATAAAAGCGGTTGGATAATGGTTAGACAGATGTAGAAAATATGCAAGGAAAACAAAACATGTTGCATAAAGGTTTAATAAAAACAAAATTAAAAAACAATACCAATGTTTATTTTAGTTTTCATCATCAGCAATTTTACTCATATGATTTCATTACCTTCTACATTAAAAGGTTTGGTGCTCAAAAAGAGTGAAATATGTTTATAAGTATTTATTTTTGTATTCATAGTATTCATGCAACATTGAGAATAGTTTTTGATTCAATGTTTAAATGCACTTCACATTTACAGCCAATAAAATCAAGACCACAGTATCAATTTAAGTTGCTCCATTATAAACATGTGAGGGATGCTGGTAAAAGCTGCAAAGTTAAAAAAAAAAAGTTGAGTGTACTTGCATCTCAATTGTCTTTATTATGAATTTGGACATACCTTCATAAAATTCAAGTTGTAAGCCAACGATGGTTATTAAAAGAGCAGCTGCTTGCTGGCATGATATGTTGTGATTTACATATGAATTGTTGACTAACTACGACTACTGTTGGTGACTAGTCGACTAGCCAAATAATTGTTTGTGGTAGCCCTCGTGCAAACAAAGCATGTCTTTGTGTACGTCTTGTGTTGTGACCAGCATGGAAGGCTTTTAGTCTTGGCTTCCATTCAGGAAACAGCGGTGGCGTCACAAAGTCTCCCAGAGGAGTGCAGCCTTCGGGTTTCAGGTGTTAATTACCTGTACAGTATTTCTTTCAAACACATAGACACACATGCAAACGTGTCCTCTTCAACTATATATAAACACTTCTGCAGATGAAAGAGACCCCCGCTCGCACAAACCACGTCAGAGCGCACAATACAAAATGTCCCTATGCTATTTTTAAACCTCTCATTGGGAACCCAAGCCCCAAAAGGATCTATCAAATAGATTGAGCGAGTGTGTTATGATCCGGGAGGAGACGCGGGGACCATTAACAGCCCTCATCATCACAGTCCGGCTGTGGGATTGTGTGGGCGCTTCTTCTGCTCCCATGACGCCATTAGCCTTTTTATGTGCATCACTTCAAGATGATTCCTGCCAAATGAGAGCCTTAGTGTCAGTCCATTTATTTATGAGGGCTGACTCTCACATCACACCTTGTCTTGATCTCCTTTTTGTCTGGCTGCTCCATCTATAACCGTGGCTAATGGTCAACATGTGCAAAATTGAGGCCTGGAAAATAACTTTCTCCAACTCAACTCTCATTGAAAAAATTGGCTTGGTGTTGAATTCACTAAATTTTATTTCGTCAGGTGGTCGCACACAATAAAATCATCTGGATTAAGAATACATTTTTAAGTAGCATGCTATCAACTATGTTCTTGGGCCTCTATTTCCTTGAGTGATGTTACAGATATGTACCGTATAGAAGTGGGTTACTTCTTGTCATATTGCTAAGCGCAATATATCCTAGCATTGCTCACTATCCTGAAAAAAATGGTCTGTTTAATTTCTCAATTTTTTTACGTCGAGAGGTTGCACAAAATAAAATCATCTGGATCCCGATACATTTGTAAGCAGACGTCTAGTCAACGTAACAAATGTATCTGGATCCAGATGATTTTATTTTGAGCAACGACTTGATGAAAAAAAAAATTGAGTCAATTCAACTAAAACTTTTTTCATTGTAGAGCAGGGGTGTCAAACTCATTAAATCACAATAATGTTAATGCTTTATTCTTTAGCTTTGTGTGTGTCTGCTTTGTCGGAATTCTGCAGTGATTCACTGAGTGTTGCTCACAAATTTGGTTTCGTGCAGTTGCCTCCTACATTACTGAATGTCACATTGGCCAGCCTTGGTGCCAGTCACTTAATATTAATGTGTATAAAAGCCGTACAAATCACATATTGTTCATGACGAGTTGATCATCAATCAGCATCCTTAACTATAATCTTTACGTTTAAAAGTGCCATGGACAATGAGCAGCCAGCCGAGTGGCAGAGAATATGCTACCTCATCAGGTTTGTGCATTCATAGGATAGTGATATTAACAGTTGTTTTTCCTTTTGCTATGTTTTGCTTCGGTAATGTATATTGTCCACTCTGACCTCCAGGCATTGGATTCAGGAATTCTGGATGATGTTCAGGTTGCACCACAGCTTGTCAGACAGCTTGGACCAACTCCGAGAGCTGATCAGGGAGCAGGGACAGGAGCATCTCTGCTCTCTCCTTGAAACAAAATGGATGTAAGTGTTAATGTGTGACCAGCTGTCAAATGAGAGGTCTGAACACGACTCCCAAATCAGTCAGGAAAAAAAATGAATACAGTCACGATCATAAAAACTTTGCAGTAGAACAAAAAGTGCATTCATGTTCATAAACTGGACCTTGACATTGAGCAGAAAGTGGAGAAAACAATTTTTGCTTCTAAAATGTAATTACTTTTACTCGCCACAATATTATTATAATTTTAGTCGTAAATAGTGTACTTGTATCTTTGCCTATCGAGAAACGCTCTGTCTATGATATCTAAAGTTTATTAGGATTAGTAGCAAGTATTTTTTCAACATATTTCCTTCTCACTCTGCCACCTCAAACTTTTTTTTTTTAATTAACTAATCTTGCGGGCTGTTTCAAATGTCATTTTTTTTGTAAATGTAACAGGCCTCTGAAATCTGTGTGATGGGCAGTAGTTTGGTCACTCCTGGCCTAAGGCAGGTTCAAACTTTGCAGTTTTCTATTGTAAGGCAGGCTAATGCTAATCACTCGTGAACTTTGCTGTGCTTGTCCATTACTTCCATCCATCCTTGAGACGACTTAAGTTGTGAATTGGCGTTATGGAAATAAAACTGAATTGAATTAAATATCCTCTGATTTGCCTTTGATCGTTATCATGCTGAAAGGTTTATCTTCCAAGGTCCTACATTAACCATATTGGACCATAAAAAGTTCACTGATGCTGGCCCAACTGGGCTAGTACCAATTTAAAAAATGTAATACGATGAAATCAATATATAAATATTCAATATTTTGTGTTTTATCCACTTCAATTGATCAATTCTCAGTGATCTGTTTACTGCGCTGTGTATTTTATTGGCAGGGCCACCACAACATGGCTTAGGGTGGTCCAACAAAGGCTCAATATGGGACTCTGTCTTCTATATACCAGAAGACATCGGGAGGTCGTTGTGACCTCAGGTCATTTTATAGGCTTCCAATCACTGTGTGCCACTTGAGCCCAAAATGCCAGATCGGCGCTTGCTTACATTGCCCATCGCGAAATGTGCTGTTGCCGTCATGCGTTCTAGAAACGAGCGAGACTGGTCCTGGAAGGCCAGCCAGAAGATCAAAGCCAACAGCAGTAAAAAGAGGAAGGTATCGCTTCTCTTTGACCACCTGGAGCCCATCGAGCTAGCCGAGCATCTCACCTTCCTGGAGTTTAAATCATTTTGCAGGATTTCCGTGAGTACTCATATCAGCATACAAATCTTTTGGTGCACTGGTGATTTGTGTCTTTGGCATGCATGCAAGGTGCATATTTCCTCCCAAAGGAAATGCCTAGTCGGTTGCATTCGCCTCTTAGCTCTCTGCTCTCACCATCAGTTCATAGACTACCAGAATTACATCCGGAACTGCTGCATGAAGGACATCCCCGTGATGGAGCGTTCCATCGCCCTGTGCAACGGGGTCTCCCAGTGGGTTCAGCTGATGGTGCTCAGCAGGCCAACGGCTCAGCTTCGAGCGGAGGTTTTCACAAAGTTCATCCACGTGGCAAAGGTAGTTTCAATCACATCACCGCTAGTCTGAACGTTCTGACCGCATTAAGAGCTAAAACAATGAGCGTTTGATTTGCAAGCTAAATGACTGAATCGGTCTCAAAATGTTTTTAGAAAGATTTAAGATATCCTTTATTTGTCCTACACTGGGGAAATTTACAGCTGTTTTTTTTTTTTTTTTAATGCAGTCATATGTAAGTACCCCCCAACCAAAACACGCTCACCCACTGACTTTTCTTTACCAAATAATTCTAAACGCTGTGAAGTAGAACTCTACATCCAGTCAAAAATGCGTATCAATAAAATACTTTGATATGAATGCATTCCTTCTTATCTGTTTGTATTTATTATTCTAAAGTTGATGTTAATTCCATTAAAATGCCATGAGTTCCGAACTTGGAATGCTAGTGCATTGAATGTTTCTAGAAATTTCACACTCTTTTGCTAGTCCCTATTTGTCAAATTAACAAACTTCAAAAAAATGGTTAGGTGCACTCAAAAGCCAAAGCGACGCATCATTCGGCGGGCCTGCCACCCTGCATTGGTTCGTGCCATTAAATCGCCAGCCTGCTGCTGAGCACAAAGCCCATGGGGTGTGGAAACAAATTTCACACCATCATTCTCCAATGACAGCAGGAATTTCAGAGCTGAGAAGAAATGGGAAAGCGCTTCGGGTTGGGAAAAAAAAAAAAAAGAAGGCAAACAATGGGTGTGAAAAAGTAACAACAATTTAAGTGCTTTATGTAACTGTGGTTTTCTGTATTATATAACCAGAACTACTTGAAACATGTATCTGTCATCACAGCAAACTACAACCACAATCGTGAGTGTATTGTTGCATGAATACATCTCTGACCATCTCAACTGAGCTTGATAGATTTTTTTTTTTTTTCTAGTGGATCTCAATGTCGGCGTCGAGTTGAATGACCTTGTATGTGTTTGTGTGCGTCCACCAGGGTTTACACCTCATGCACAACTACAACACGCTAATGGCAGTGGTGGGAGGGCTTTGTCACAGCTCCATATCCAGACTGAAGGACACCACCTCCCATGTACCCAGTGAGGTCATCAAGGTAATGAATAATCACAGAGCCGATCCAAAGCGTAAGCGAACTAAACACCTGCTTTGTGTGGTTGTATTGAGGAAGAGCAGACTAACATTAAAAAACTGGAATGTTTGGATTAAAGCCTTTATTTAGATTTATATTTCATGAAATGTTTTGTCCATTTTTTTGTACATTTGAATTTTTCAATTATGTTAAAACATTTTCATCAGAAGTATTTGCATAACAATGTTATGCCTCACCGTGGTTCTATTTATTGTTTCAAATAATTGTATTTATTGAGTCTACTGCGCATGTCAAACTTTTAATGGGAGCCAATGTGCAAAGGTTTGTGTGCCCCAAAGAGGAATGAAATCGTGAAATCATCCAAAAGAGATGAACAAAACAACTTACCTCATCATGAACTACAAGCACTTTAGACAACTTGTTGTCCTGCCGATTTAAAAATAGAAATGCATATATTTAGAATTTTTATTTCATTATTCCGTTTTTGTTTTACTAAAGGTGTCTCAGCTGAATGGTGGGGCGGCGCCCTCTATTGAGCAGCCACCACTGTCTGTGGTTTTGTTTGTTGTTATTACACATGATTAGAGTTCTTTTACTACAAGTTATTTTTACACTATGCGGTTGCAGTTTTTAAAAAACAAAATTAATAAACCAGATCACACTTTGACGTTAAATGCATGATAGACTGGATTATATTGTTATTACTTTTAGTAGACTGAGATGATACTCAGATGCGTGAGTGTGTTGTCTCTTGGAATATTGTTTAAATGAACCCCATTCTGCCGTTTTATTTGTTTTTTGTTTTTTTTTTGGAGTCTTTATGCAATCATCCCAGGAATTCAACAAAGAATGATCACTAAACAAAATTATTGACAAAAATAAAGTACCCCAATCTAAAATTTTTATTATGGGCCTCATGGAGGCATGGGCTCTGAATGTGCAATTACGAGTGCTCCATATGTACTCATGAGTGTTCATGGGGAGCTAAGATGTCCTTTTTCCCCCCCTCTCCAGGTGTTAAATGAAATGACAGATCTGCTCTCCTCATGCAGAAACTTTGATAACTACAGACAAGCATACAACAAGTGTACAGGATTTAAAATCCCCATCCTGGGCGTGCACCTTAAAGACCTCATTTCAGTGAATGAGGCCATGCCGGACTATGTGGAAGACAATAAAGTGAACGTGCAGAAGCTGCAAGCCCTCTACAGCCATATCAATGAGCTGATACAGCTACAGCAGATCGCTCCCAAGCTGGATGCCAACAAGGACTTGGTCCACCTCCTGACGGTATAGTAGCCCCTCGACCCCCCCCCCCCACACACACACACTCATTTGTTTGATTCACCACATTATGTGGTGTTTGATTCACCAGGACTGATGCAGATGTGTGTTCCTGCTAGGGCAGCCGAGAATAGTTGACTAGTCACAATTACACCCATAATCAAATCTGTCGACTTAATAATCAATGCGTTGTTTATCTTTTTTAGAGATCTATTGATATTTATTTATCTGACACTTTCATTTCCTCTGCTTCCACTTGCCGTCTGCCTGTCTGTGACGCACATGGATAGTACAGTTAATATGGGTCATCCGTGATGTAAACAGAAGTACAGTGGCTAATGCAGTGTCATGGCTAACTGGTGTTAGCAACAAAGTGCTTTTCACCCAAAATAGGAAATGCCATGCCAACCTGCCTTTCATGGCAGCACGATAGTGGTACATAAGCATCTGAAAAGTATGATGTGGTTGATGCCCGATTCCATTTCTGCAAGGGACAGTCATGCCTGCCAGCTAGCCGTTATTAGCACACAGGTTGCTTTGTTTTATGAAGTATGTGGGTTTTTTTTTAACATGTACAACATATCAGGAATGCTGGTACAAGCTGCAAACATGAATCAAAGTTCAACATACTTAATTGGGGTTTTTTTTGTTTGTTTTTTTTGTACATAGCTTGAAGAACTCAAGCTAATGATAGTTATATACTGTCAGAGCAGCTTCTTGCTGGTGCGGTATGCTGCGCTTTACATACGATCCGATTAGTCGACTAATTGCAACTACTGTCAGTGGCTCGCCGACTAGCAAAATAATCCTTTGCGGCAGACACGGTTCCAGCATGTGGTTTGTCTGCACACGCGTGGGTGCGATGAGAGTCTAGGATCCATGAGTGTGTGGGTGACAAACTGAGTGTGAATGAGAGTGAATTCAAATTGCTGCACTGTACTTGTGTGTGTCATCCTTGCGGTGCTTTACATGAATACAGTATGTCCTTGAAAATGTGCTCTTGTACCATTGAGCCTCCTCTCTCTCTCTCTCTCTCTCTCTCTCTCTCTCTCTCTCTCTCTCTCACTCACACCTTCTCTCACTCTCTCCATCCAGCTGTCCTTGGACCTTTACTACACAGAGGATGAAATCTACGAACTGTCTTATGCCCGGGAACCCAAGAACTGTAAAGCCCCTGTGAGTGATCGAACCACTTCACACCCACAAGTCATAGCTGCATATATCCATGGAAACTAATACAAGAAAAATGTGTTTTTAAAAAGATCACACTGTCAGAGAAATCTGTTTATTTTGGATGTATTCAACAGTTGTATAGATCTGTAATTTATCATTATAAGAGTTGTTTCTAATAATTTTGTTTACCATTTACCACGCATACTCTTGGATATACAGCCCCTCCTACTTTCACATCAACATATAAATGACTCTACCCAAATAGATGCCTTTTTTCTGCTTTAGATTAAAAAAATCAGTTAGGTTCTGGCAGGTGCATCCTAATGCATACATTTGTACAAATAAATGCCTTCTTCATAGAACAACTGGAACTGTCTGCATTTGAGTAAATAAACACCCCCTGTTACTGCTTGAGGGAATACAGTTTTGAGAAAATATGCTTATTCACTTATTGAGACTTATTTTTCAACTATGAACTAATTTTCCATCAGCCAGCAACCCCATCTAGACCTCCAGTGGTTGTCGACTGGGTATCGGGAGTGGCTCCTAAACCGGATCCTCGAACCATTAGCAAACATGTGCAGAGAATGGTGGACGTAAGTCTTTGCTATTGTACGTTTTTTTTTTTTTTTTTTTTTTTTTGGAGGTGGGGCATAAAGCAGGGATGTTCAACTCAAATGCTGTAGGAGGCCACAATTTTTCAGCAGTGTTACTGGGAGGCCACATAGGACCATGCACTCCCCAACCAGATGTATGACAAAAATGCTATATTAGATATGGACAAAAAACAGGCTTTTAGGATATTTCATTTAGATTTCATTTCTATTTGGACAGTATATATAAAATATCCACTATATATCCACTATCCTAACCCAACAACTAAGGGTTTGAAGCAAACAATAAAATAACCACATACTGGACAGTAATTTGTTTCCAGTGCAAAGGGATCTCACATAAAAAAAAAAAATTAAAAAAAAACAAGGGTGGCACAAAACTGCGGAACACGAAAGCAACATTGAGAGCTACAACTCATTTTGTAAATTTTTTTTTCTCCAATTCAATTCAACTCACTCAAAATTGTAATATTATTTCGCAACTTTGTTTGTCCTCCATACCATTCGAAACCCACCAAAAAATATTAGGTCTCCTCACATGTGTAGTAAAAGGGCAGTCACAAAACTACAGAATATTTGCAGTTGCACACCCGCGGATTGGCATTTATTTTTTCCAAGATACTTTCATATTTTTGATTTTTTTTTCCCCATTTCCCCCAGTTTTTTGTGGAAATATAAAATATTTTTCAGCATTTCATGAAGAATTTTTTGCTTTTGTTAAACAAAAGGCTCTAAAAATGTAATTATATTTTTCACATTGTTTTTTGAAAATGAATTAAGGGACCACTCAGAATGTGGTCGCGGGCCACACAGGCCTCCAGTTGCCCATCCCTGGCATAAGGAAGGAGCATGGTGATTATTTTGACAGGCTGCTTTCATTCATTGTCGAGCAACATCCATTTTTTTCCCCTCTTGTCCTCCACAGTCCGTGTTTAAGAACTACGATCACGATGAGAACGGCTTCATTTCTCAAGAGGACTTTGAGAAAATTGCCGCCAGCTTCCCTTTTTCTTTCTGTGTCATGGACAAAGACAAGTGAGTGCTCGGCAGGTCACGCACTCATTTGCAACTGCAGGAGAGAGCAAAGTGGTATTTGTAGTGATAAGTGCGGCGACAGGAAGCTTCAAGAGGCTGCACAACTAACCATAACCTCACTGCTCTCTAGTCTATTTTTTGCATGCGGACCCACTTACGTGCGATGTTCACCGACCACACAAAATCATGCAATCCCTAGCAAAAACTGTCAGTGTAAATGTCATGGGTTGTTTCATTAGTAATATCGTAATCCCATTTTTCATATGTTTGTACAGAGAAGGACTTGTCAACAGAGATGAGATCACAGCTTATTTCATGCGAGCCAGTGTCATCTGCTCCAAACTTGGCCTGGGCTTTGTTCATAACTTTCAGGAAACCACTTACATGAAGCCCACCTTTTGCGACAACTGCTCTGGATTTGTAAGTCAGCAGATGAGCCAATGCACACCATTAAAAAAAACAAAAACAACGCTTTTGACAATCCTGTGTGTTCTTTCCAGCTGTGGGGTGTCATCAAGCAAGGCTACAGATGCAAAGGTAACTCTTCGGACATTAGTCATGCGTTGTCTAGAGATAATTCAAATCAGACCTCTCTGCTGTGAGGCAGACAGCTAACCACTAGTTGCCCGTGCTTGCTCAAAAATTTAGTGTAATTCATAAGAATTTCATTTTGTCCCTTTTTTTTATTGAAACCTGTTTGATTTGGTTGAACGCCTTTTAGCGTGCAAAACATTCATACGGTAACCTAAAAACTGCCAAATGCCCAGTGTGATACAATGATGTCGTCTGCAATCATGCATTCCTAGTTTAAAAGTATGTTTAAGTTTGGAGTTAAGACCGACGTAGTACAGCATGGCATCATATTGAGAGCTGGTTACCCCATTGAGTTCTAAGCACAGTCATTGGATTATTACCACTCGAATATAACTCAAACCTCAGCGTTATTGAATATTTCGATGCTAAGCTCTTGTATTGAATCTCATTGAATCCTGTAAGTTGTGTTATTTCCCCTCGCATGTTGCAAGCTAAACCTAGACCGGTGTCAGTCAATTGTTCTTTAAAGAGTGCACGCAAAGGTCTGAGCGTTGCAGTTGCAGCAGAGATTCAAAAAGCGGTTGAGTTCCTGTTCTGACTTTGCGCTGCCTTCGCACAGACTGCGGGATGAACTGCCACAAGTTGTGTAAGGACCAGGTGGCCTTTGAGTGCAAGAAGAACACCAAAGTGAACAACAACAACACCATCGACAGTCCCACGCCCGGCTCCACGCCAGTTACCGTGGGAACCTCGGAGGGTGGGTCAGGGCACGACAATGAAACCATCATGTAATCAGTCTATTTTCAAA